GCTAACGTGCATAATGATGATGATGATACACTAACTACCATCTCGTGTAACCGACGGAACGTGCGAACATACGTATACGGTGAGAAAAACATGAAAGCCCATAACAAATAACACAAATTTCGTATTTGGCCGAGCACTATGTGCCTTCCCAATATATATATATATATATATTGGGAAGGCACATAGTGCTCGGCCAAATACGAAATTAGTGTTATTTGTTATGGGCTTTCATGTTTTTCTCACCGTGTACGTATGTTTGCGCGTTCCGTCGGTTACACGAGATGGTAGTTAGTGTATCATCATCATCATTATGCACGTTAGCTAGAGGTGGGAAGCACCTCATCGACTGTGCCGCAATGAAGAATGGAAAATGCAACAGATCCAAGCCAGCTAAGCTACCGGTAATGGATTGCATCGTTCCCCTATGCTACCAGCCGGCTGCTGTGCACCAAAATAATTACTATGCAAAATTATATTAGCCTAAGTAATGAGATACTGTTTGGTGGGGTGGCTAAGAGGGATGAGGTGGGACAAAGTAACTCATAGCACGAACTCCATTGAGGCCGTCTCCTAGCCATGTCTGCAAGTGTACCCAGCCCAACGTGTTCATCGTTTTTCGGACTCCAACCAGTGAGCCGAGACACTCCAACCGAGGCCAGCCTCGAAGTAAGGGCCTTCAGTCCTCTCGGCTATGTCATCACTTGGCGACCCCTCTTCTTCCATGCACACCCCTGGCGCGCAAACAACGTACGTCGCGGGAGTCGGTGCGCTGGCAAACGCAACACGTGGCCCAGCCATCGGAGTCTGTGCGTGTAATAACGGTGGTGAGCGGTTCATTTCCTTTTCCTGTGCCGTAAACAAGTCGTCGAACACGCTCGTTGCTCACTCAGTGTTCCCACCAGATGTGAGCCAAATTGCGAAAACACCGGTGGTCGAACGTAACTAGCCTCTTTATGTCTGCTGATCTAAGGGCCCAGATTTCGCAACCGTACAGTAGGGTCGTACATACCGCTGGACTGTACATTCTACCCTTCAGTGGGCGAGTGATGTCGAGTCGGCGCCATAAGTGGCGAAGGTTAGCAAAAGTGCCTCGAACTTTTGTTATACGATTCGTGATCTCATCTCCGATTCCACAGGCGCTGCTCAACTTCCCAGGTAGTTAAATTTTTGAACGACTTCTAGCTGATCCCCACTAACGGTCAGCGCAGGTGTTGGTCCAGGCCATTATTGGAGGACCGCTTTGCACTTCAAGAGTGCAGAGCAAAGCCCGAAGTGGCGAACAGCCAGTGCTAGTCTGTCCAATGCCGCCTGGCACATTTGTGAGCTGTCCCAGATGAGGCCAATATCGTCAGCATACTCTAAGCCAAGAAGTCGTTCTCCTGGGAGTAGCTCCACACCTTCTAAGTCGTGTCCTGTAAACGCGATTTCCATGAGTTCGTCAATTGCGAAGTTGAAGAGGAAAGGTGACAGCGGGCATCCTTGTCTCACACCGCTGTAGATATTGAAGGGCGACGAAAGCTAGCCGTTAATCCTCGCTCTGCCCGAGCTACGCAGGTATAATTCTCGGGTATTATTTACATATTCCTCGGACACACCTTTCTTGACTAGGCGGTCCCAGAGGGCACGTCTACCCAACAGATCGAATGCACCTTTGATCTGGAGGAACGACAACGGTGGGCCGACAATATATATGACTGTGCTTCAACAACTGACGCAAAGTGAAGATGTGGTCAATGCAGCCACGACCTTGACGAAACGCGGCTTGTGCTTCACGAACCTAGCTTTCACTAGTTCCAGTTAGTCTGTAAAAGGTGACATGCAAGCAATTTGGAGGCAATGGAGATCAGACTGATTCTTCTATGGTTGCCGCATTCCGATCGTGAGCATCCCTTAAATATTGGGACTATTACGGAGCGGCTCTAGTCTGTCGGGACGGTTTCCTGCTCCACAGTTTGACTAGTAACTCGTGTAAATCATCCACAAGAGCAGCTCCCCCGAATTTTTTGAGGGCTGAAGTAAGATCATCTTTTCCCACGCCTTGATTTAACTTCAACACTGCAATCTCACATTCGACTTCTGAGCGAGGAGATAGATCCAAAGAGACAGCTCAGGGAGCAGGTCGATCAGTGGCCGGCAAGAAATCTGACAATTCCCATCAATTAAATTGCCTTTCAAAGTTTTCAGCCCCACGCTCCAAGGGTTTTGACAAGTTGTGGGTAGACTATCCACTCTCCTCACGTATAGTTTCACTAACACCATATCTCCTACTGCTCGTTTACCGTATCAGACGGAATAACTTACGGTGATTACCAAGGGCAGCGGCCATTTCCATCACTGATGCACGATGAGACCACCAGGATTCGCGGTTTCTTCAAGCTAACACGGCATTTTGCCCGGAGTTTTCTGCGAGTCTCATTGTGTTCGCTTCCAGCCGGAATGTGCCGGCGAGCATCGATAAGTTCCAGAGACTGCGAAGAGACCCAGTGTCCATGTTGGCGATTAGACTTACCACATGAGGATTTTCCTGCTGCTAGTAAGGTCTGGTGAACATGAGACCAGTGAGCGCTTACTCAACTCGCATGTCAGCATAGTTTGATAGGCATTCAGAGTAGCTGACTTCGTCAGTTGGCTGGTGTCAATGCGCTGACAACATCGTCGTGGGCGTCCGCCAAAACGCATCCGCAGGTCAGCGCATACAAGTGCATGGTCGGTGTCCACGCATGTTCTCCAAATAGAGCGACAGTTCTGGACCCAGCATCTTTTGTGGTAACTGATTGCAGTGTGATTGATTTGCATCCCAGCGTGCTTCGAGGCTGGTGGGCGCCAAGTCACCCTCCGGCGGGTGCTGTGTCGGAAGTTGGTGCTCGCAAGAAATAAGCGGGCATCTTCACACAAATGAAGTAACCGCTCACCGTTATCATTACGGGAGCCTACACCATGTTGGCCACCCAGATGCAGTTCATCAGTGGATAAGTTTCCAACTTGAGCTTTCAGATCCCCAGCCAGCACAACAGTGTCCGTGCTTCTTCTGTGGCGAAGTAGCTCGTTCAGTTGACGATAGAAGTCGTCTTTTACCGAGTCATCACTAGAGTTTTTGGGCGCATAGGCAGCGATAATGTATAGACACGTGTTAGTCCCGCGCGACTTTGAATGAGCCAGCCAATCGGACCGCACACATCCGGCTATTGATTGGAATCCAATCAACCAGAGCAGCTTCAGCCCGGGGACTCAGGGCAATACCAACACCGGCTTAGCTGTTGCTCGAAGCTACGTCGTCACCAGAGAGGCGCAATGAGGAAGTGTTGCTGGTGTCACCTGATGGGAATCGCAAAGTGAGCAGGGAGCTCAAGTCTTGCACGCGGGTCTCCGATATGCATCGGATATCGATTGAGAGGGTCTCTTATTTTAGGTCAAGTGCTACCTGTTGCCCGATCTGTAGCAATGTGCTTACATTGAGGCATGCCAATCTGAAGGAGGATCAAGGGCTCCAAATGGATGCCGATGGACTGGTCTTGGTCGCTTGCTTGGACATGGGCTTGCCAACAGGGCAGAAATGACCCTCGTAGTTTACATGTGAGTTAAAACTAGAAGATGAACGCTTAGCAAAGCAAGGTGGGGGAGGGCCAACAATTGTGGGTTGAAAAATGGGGGGGATAAAACTGAAGGTGGAACGGGACGATAAGGGTTTAAAAGTGGAGGAGGAGGAGTAAGAAGATGGGAAGACTTGGGCAGTAGCATCCAAACCCCTATCCACCCTGCTCGATGCAGCAGATTGAGCACCGTTGATTATCCTCTACGGTGGCCGGAGCTTCGGGAATTTGTTTGACGATAGATTCATAGTGGTTGGTATGTCCACATGTTTCACCAGATTAGTTAGGTCCTTATTGTTTGTGTCCTTTATCCGTCCGTCATGTTCTTATTTGGATTCTGTCCTCTTGTTCCAATTAAAAGCACCCATGGATTTACCTTTACCGTCATTATGGGCTATTATTCAATTTTGTAGTCCACCGTTTTTATTCAACTAGTGGGTTCCGTCACATTTCCCCTAAGTCTTTAGTGCTAGCCGAAAGAAAGCAGATATTATGGTTGCACAGTGCTGGGGAACATAGTTGCGCCCTGCCTGCTAGAACTACCTCGAGCCACGATTTGTTCCATCGTCTGTGCAAAGTTCGAGCAGGCATTGCTTCTTACACCCCAAGATCTTGAGTTCACAGTGGTAGCAGCAATGGAAACAACTAATGATTTTCCATCTTTCGGACCTCTATTATCCACTTAAATTAATCGGGTTATCTCACTACATCTACAGTGCTCTTCTAATTTGTGCGTAAGCTTATCTGCTCTCTACGCTCAACTTATTGATGTTTACCTAGGGAATACCTATCTGCTCTACTAGGCCGTAGACCCTATCTTTTCCGCATTACCATGCCCTACCTCACACATTACATGTATAAATCAATGCGCAAACAAACTGTGCATCATTGGTCGCATATGTTCATCTCGCCATTTCTCACAAGTGAATCAATCCTAATTGTCAGTTGTCCCCGGACCCTAGCTAGAACTTCACCAATGACTTATTTATGTTTCGTATTTTTATATCCTATCAGTTTAAAGTGTGTAACGCTGCCACAAGGCAGTATTGCTCGCATTTTGTGGGAATCAATGGGTGCGCATTGCTTTTGGTGTTCATCCACTGGAGGGTTGTTGGCTTTCTCCTTTCTAACCACTCCCTCTTTCAATTGCTGTTCACTGGTCCTGTTTGTTAAACGCTATGGTTCCGACCAACTGATGTTGTATTTCTCTTGTGCATTTGTGCCTAACAATTGTGACTCCTTGGGTCTCATCCGCTATTGTTGTTGTTCACTATTAAGTGCGCGTCTGTTCACCTTTATACCAGCTACCTGCTGTTTCGGCTTATGTATCATTTCCACCCTCGTTTTCGCATCTGTTTATGTTATTTCACCACGTCTGTGTTCATTTGCCACTACCTTTCTTGTTTTCAGCTGAGTTGCGCCACCATCACATTTCTTGATAATGAGCACCCCTTGTACGAATCCATCGATGGCAACAGTGTACTTCCTCCTGCTCTCATCGGCTCTCAGCATCCTGACTCTGCCCACATGCAAGCTTCTGGTGATGGCGCTTCTGAGGCGCCGAGCGCATTGTCCGGACACGCTCCTGCTTACAGCGTAAGTTGTCTATTGCTGGGCACGTTTTTAGTCGAAACACATTTGCTACGTTGGTGGCCTGCTGCACATTTGAAATGAACACATGCAAAGTGTGGAGATCAGTCTTAATTTGTCACCGTATAAGCTAAAGGGAACACTGTTAGCATCGGTGTCATGCTTTTGCACGTCATCGCGCGTGATAAACTGCTTGACTTCTACCCCGCAATTAAAACGCTCCCGGTGATGATTCGCTCTCCAGCTGTGGTTTTCCTTCACATTTTCATCTCCGGCGTCATTAATGAACATAGTACCGACTCACATAAAAGCTTCACTGCTACCCTACTCGATTCGCTTTTTTGACAGAACTCTGGATTATTGTTTGCAGGCTGGCATGTGTTCCTCGTTTCGAGTTCTCAGAAATCCACTGCGATAGTAGTCTCGGGTGAGTAGTGCGTTACACATTGAACGGTAGCTTTACCATCCTGAATACTGTATTATAGAGCAAGTAGAAATGGATTCTGTACAACTCTTTCGAAATATGGCGAAAAACGTTATAAAATTTGCCAACCGTGGATATCACCGTCGTTCTCATGTAATATTTAAAATATTCGACTTACGATATTTCAGGATTCACAAATGTGATGTCATCGTAAGTGTGCAGTCGTTCTCTGAATCGAATAGAGGCAAAATGCAAATCTAACAACGTTTTGAACTGTTGCACAGATGTTGCCTCAATCACATGTTCGGGCAAACTATTCCAAATGTTTACCACTCTCCGTTCGAAGCACAGTGGGTGGGGAACACGTTTCATATCCGGCACAACAAGTTCGTATCTGTGTCCGCGTGTGCTGCATGGCCCTCGTAAGTGCAGCATTGGCCTTAACGTGGGGAACTCTCCGAGATGTAGAATTCGGTAGGTCATAATGAGGTCGACTCGCACCCGACGGTAGGACAAGGTGTAGAGTCCTAGTTTCTCACACCGGTCCACATACCCAAAGCCACGTAAACTCGGGATGAGCCTGGTAGCAACGTGTTGGACCCGTTCAATCTTTTGTGCCTCGCCTCTGGTAATCGAAAAGTAGGCGGGCGAACCGTACTCTAGCATTGGTCTAATGATAGAAGAGAACAGGCGAGTGGCAACCTCTTTAGACCATGTGCCGAAGCTACGTTTGAGCGCCCAAAGCATGCGCAGTCCGTTAGGATATAGCCTGTTCGTGTTGTCCACGGACTTCAAATCGTAGCGTGAGAGTACACCTAGGTCCTTCACGGAGGGTGTGGGATATAGCGTTTGGCCGTCAAGGGTATAGGTTCGGCCGTTAGCATTCTTCCCCAGGCTCATAAATACAGACTTGGCTGGGTTGACCGGGAGAAGAACTTCTGCAGACCATGTGGATAAGCGGTTGAGATCTCGCTGAAGTAGGCCACAGGCATCGGGAGCGTCGCTTTCCAAATCTTCATGTCGGCCGCAAACAAGGCACACGGCGACCGGAGAAGCTGCGGTAGATCGTTGATGTGTATCAGAAACAGAGTGGGCCCCAGCACAGTGCCTTGAGGCACGCCACTTGTAGAGGGGTACCAGTCAGTTAGATGGTCATCGACCTGTACTCTCCACTTTCGTCCAACAAGAAACTCGCGGATCCACCGGTGCAGTGAGCCACCGACGCCACACATGCTGAGTTTGTGAAGGAGAACCTCATGACTGACCTTGTCGAAACTTTACTGAAATCGATGAATATCACGTCGACGGACTTCCCCTTGTTTATTGCCTTCAACCACTCATGCCTCGTCACAAGCAGGTTAGTAATGCATGAGCGACCTTGCATAAAACCGTGCTGTGCGGGCGTCAGGACCTCGTTTGACTGTATCAACTGCAGCAATCTCTTCTTCACGATTTTCTCAGCAACCTTTGCCAAAATTGGCGTCAGACAAATTGGCCTGTAATTGTCTACTTTGCTAGGGTCGCCGCCTTTCGGGATAGGCTTCACCACCGCACATTTCCAGTCAACCGGCAATGAACCTTCGGACAGCGACCTGTTGAGAAGGTCAGTCACGACAGGAGAGAGGATGGTTGAGAGTGACTTGAGAACCAGTGGGTGAAACCCATCAGGTCCGGTAGGTTTGGTACCGTCAAGATTGGCGCGTAGTTGAGCTACCTCTTCAACGCCGCAATGCAGACTATCGAGTTCGGTAAAAGCGGTACACGTCGAACTCAGAACAGACACCTGGTTATTCGCAAATACAGAGGCGAAGTGCGCTGCCAACGCGGACGCACGCTCAGTGCTGGAAGTTAGGGGCTGTCCATCCGTGCCATCCAACACTGGCACATCACCTGCCGGCTTTAGGCGTCGCTTCACATATGCAAAGATTCCCTTTGGTGCGGTCTTCGCGGCTAATGCGAGCTGCACTTCAAAGTGTCGGCGTTTATTCTTTTCCGCACTGTTGCAGAGGTTCCGCTGACATTTGTACCCTTCGTAATCATTGGCAGAGCCAGAGAGAAGGAATTTGTCCCACAGTCTGCGTCGCCTCCGAGCCAGGTTTCCATACTCCTTGTCAAACCAATGAGGCTTAATCGGTCCAACCTTTCGACATTTCAATGGCACAAATTGGGAACACAATGACGTCAATCTCTCTTTTATAAATATCCAAGAATCTTCCACAGATGCAGCTTGTGACAGAGACCAATCCAGTTGGCTCACGGCTCGGGCTAGACCATCGAAGTCCGTTTTCTAGTAGTTGGGAGCTGGTTGCAGCGGATGTGTATACAGCAAAGATAATTCCATATCAGCTATCAGTACTGAGTGGTCGCTCGTAGCCAGGGGCTCCAGAATCCTAATGTCACGCACTCGTTGTTCGTAGCTCGTTAACATCAGGTCGAGACAGGACGAGGTTGAACGTGTTGATATGCGTGTTGGCTGTCATATGTGTTGCGATGCACCAGTTTCAAATACCAAATCCACGAACTTTGCTTCAACCTCACTATGTCCAGGCATCAAATGCACATTGTATTCGAGGACAGTTAAAATCGCCCATAAGCAGAAAGTGTGGACGACTCATGTGGGCTTGAAGATGGGACAGCCAATCCAAACAACGACTCAGGGGACTGCGATAAACTGCGCCCACAAGCAGTTCTCCGCGCCTGAGGCGTATGGAGCACCACAGTAGCTCACACAGGCCATCGTCACTTCGGTAGGTGCTCACAAGTCTCCCACGCAGGGAAGACCGGATGTAAAGTAAGACACCACCGTGGGCATTCTTTAGTCTATCGCATCGGAAACACGAGTAACTGTCGAGTTCAAGTTCGTGGGTGTATAACTCTGCATGCAGCGATGTCTCTGCGAGTCCCACTACGTCTGGCCGCTCAGACGCAACGAAACAACAAAGCTCATCGCGCTTATTCATAATACTGCAAACGTTTGTGAAGGCTACTCGCAGGCCGCAGCAGAAGCCACCGGGCGTGCTTGAAGTGTGAGCAGCCTGTTTATCCTGATTCGCGGATTGTTGGAAATCACCCGAAAATTTACGATACGAAGATTTGTTTCCCCCTCACCAGCGCGTCTTTTTAACTCAATGATGGCAGACTTGAGCCGCTCCCTGTCTACTTTGTCCAGGTCGGGACGAACATGGATCTTCAAACCTTTCAGCCTACTTAGGCGAGACATGATCAATCTTTGACTGGCTTCGTCCACAAAAGTGATTCTCATAGGCCGATTTTGTTGATCACCTTGCTTTCCCAGACGGGTAATCTGCCTCACTTTTACTGAGTCCTCACCAGCGTCGAGGAGTCTATCAATTAGACCCTGTAAAAACTCGACATCGTGATCGTAGCGCACTTGAGGTGATGGATCACTGGACTCCGGTGCGTGAAATATCACGAGATTATAACGCCTCTGGTAGGACGAGATTGGCTTTGCTGGGCGAAGTATACTACCAGCCTCAAGTGGTTTGGCTAACTGTTGACTTACAGAACGTAAACGCTCAACGTTCCTTCGTAATTTCGTCCTCTGTTCTTTCCACTGGTCTTCAGCACTCAGACTTTTACCTGCTGGGACATCAGTGTCCGGTGAACACAACAAAGGTAAACAATTTAGCCCAAGTGCAGCTGGGCTTCTCACAACGGTTGGACTTGGTGTCGGTGAGTTTGCACGGGTAGAGGAGGACGACTGAGCCGAAACTTGAAGGCTCTTCGGGCTAGATTGTTGGGCCAAACACACGGAGCTGTTCGCAACGAAACGCTGAGGACTACACGTCGGCTTTACTCTTTCTGGCTGTATCTTATTTCGGCAATTTTCGCATATAGTTTGGATGAAATCGTGTTGGATCTCGCGAAGACGATGAAAATGCTCAACTGATAATCCAACACACGAAATGTGGTATTTAACTTGGCACAAAATGCACGTGAGGGCATTTGCACGGTATCCGACTAGTTTGGAGCAAGTACCACAGGATGACTGCTTCGGCATTGTGAATAATCCGAAAACAAGATGGCGGCCAATTGACGAAGAAAATGGCGATAGCAAGATCGCCGAAACCAAGCGATGAAAACACAAGTATTTCTGGTCGGAAATTTCAGAATCGGAAATGAAACTGAATTGTAGCTCAATTTCCACGAAATGCTTCCAATGAACGCAGCAAGTTAACACAAAATGATCTTGTCAACACAGCCAAAAATAACCGACCGGAGGACGCTATCCTGACAGTTTGCGGATGCTACGTGCTACTACTTGCCATTGCAGCCATATTTGCTACTTGATGTTAGCATTGCCCCACATCACTGCCATTTGTTCATCCAATATCCATGTTGCTTCATTTTGTAATGGGGGAGCACCCTTTAAAACAGACTGCTTTTACTCATCTATTGTGCATTGATTCTCAGCCGGATTGCTGCTAGTCGCTTTTGCTCTGATCATCGAAACACGCAGGGGTTAGCTGTTGTGTCTCGAAGCACACTGGTACTAAATGCTAACAATTATAAATCAGAAATGATACACTCGAAGACTCCATGCTGCACTCCCAGAGTACCT